TAGTAGAAGAATGAACCCAAGTAAGGCAGAGCGTAGAACAGAGAGCGGTTAAGAGATAGACAGAGCATAGGCACAAAGGTAGAATTTAATTGACACAGTGGTTAGGACTCTCGCTGACCATGCACATGGTCCGGGGTTCGAGCCCACGCCGGCTCACACCTGATATCTATGGTCGGCCTGCAAAATTTGGGCTACCGATATCCATGCTGAAAATTCCATACTTGTACCAAAGATACAGTGTGGAATCAAGCTGTAATCAAAAAAAATAAAGATAAAAATACCTAGCCAGGTAGGAAGATACGGATGAAGATCAATAAACAAGATAAACTCGACAGAATAGTACAAAGTAAGACATGGGTCGGCAAAAATAACAGTTCACAAAATACTCTGATCGGGTCATGGGTTCAACGGTCTAACTAAACGGATCGATGTAAAAACACGCACACAGTTCATTAAACAAGGGGGGATAGACACGTTAGACATGGATAACTGGGTTGCAACAACGCTGGGCTGATCCGGGACAGGTTGACTTGATTCAAGGATTGGAATTGAATTGATCTTACAGCTAGTCAATGCTGAATATGATCTGAAACTCCTGAAATGAATCTGATAAGCTAACCCACTAGGTTCTGATATACTTGTGAAAATGCCTAGAGAAAGAATATGGGACTGAATTAGTGCTAGCCACGCTGAAAACCAGCAGTGAGTTTTAGTCTGTGTCATTAAACAATCCATTTCAGAACAGATTCAAATTTTACTCACTATAGGATGCTAAAATTATTTCAAAATTACTGAGATATAATTCAGCATTATAATAAGCTTTGGTTGCAATTTGGTTGCAACTGCACTCGCACATATCACTTCAGGTGTACATTTGATAGCAAGTAAATGGAGAGGACGGAGACGAGAACAACTTCCATATATTCTAAATATATTTTTAACAATCTTCATATGAAAGTAAGAGTTTGTTTACAAGTGAAATCACTAAGCTCCTGCCTGATATTGGCGGGGGGTTTTTAAGCCTGAATCAATCCAGCCTTCGTGATTATCAATTTGTTAAACAGAAAGATAGTCTGAATAACCTTGCGATACCACGGTAACGGCGGATTTCCGTTTGGACTTAAAATTTTGCACTTGAATGTGACTCATAGTACAGCACATGAGGGACGCCAGTTCACAGGCATTGTCAAATTGTTACAGAAATAGAACCATATTATTCAGTCACAATATACAGGCGGTAGCAAGACATGTTTTACATGTACGCTGGATATTATACATACACTTCATAAATGTTAATCCCAATAGCATAAAACAGCCTTTTCACTTATGTACAATCATTTCTGTGCACAGTTAGAAAAATCTGCTAGATTGTCAGTGAGAGCAACACATCAGGAAATACAGAAGTATTGTCTTCGCACTAACAAAAAAAGCTAGGTCTTTGGTGGATGGGTTATAAGTGCCTGAGAAAAAAATAAAGCTTGTAGTCAATTTTCATACATAACTTTGTTGTGTGCAGAATCCTTGAATTATAGTTCATTGATGTGTTATTTTGAAATCAATGATATGTCTATCTCATTTGATCTGCAATGTCATTGTTAGGAGTAAAATACATAAGCTTTAGACGCATTAGTTAATGGATTTCTACTGCTTGTGGATATTATTTTCGCGTGAGGAAGGTTTATGAATTTCACCAGTTCCGACAGAAGAACCGTGTCCGCTTGGCATTGCCTATGCCGTTTCACTACTAGACCGTGGCAATGCAAGCGTAGTACCAGAACAGGAGAATGTACATGGATCTTTGGAGTCAGTATGCGAGACGGGGTTGATGTCCCTGGGTTATCTCCTCTTGCTGAAGCCCTTGTGACTACAGAATATGTTATAATAATATATTTATTCCTGTTTATTCAGGAACATACCAATTGTACGGGCATGGATACGTTATTATATAAATTACACATGACTTGATGTATGGTAAATTTACAGTTTGGCTGTTCTTTCTGGCATTAGATTCAGTCAGGACAGTCTGCTATAAAGTCTGTTTGTGTAACACATAAAGAGATATAGAAATATTGTCTTCACATTAACGAAAAACCGGACATCAGAGGAATGTATTGCAAATATCTGAGAAAAAAGCTTGAAGTCAATTCTCGTATATAACTTTGTTGTGAACAGCACCCTTGGCTTAAAGTTTATTGATGTTTTATGTTAAGATCAGTGATATATTTATTCCATTTTTTCAGCAGTCTTATCGTAGTTTTATAACAGAAAAGAGATTTGTTTGTGGATGCAAAAACTAGATACAGTCATGTTGGATTGTTTTGCTGCATCAAATGTTGTCTTATTGCTTTTCCTAGGGCTACTTTCAACAGCAATATTGACAGTCAGTATGATATATGCTATACACGAATAAGAGAGCAACAGTATCTACCCACAAGAACAAGAATAAGGTTGATAAAGTCCAAGATAAGGAAAAAAGGGTTTCCGACTTTAACTAGTACTTTTTGGTTACTCGGCTTCACAGAAGTCACGTTGTAAACCAACAAGTCTTGTTCATCTGAACGAGTCAGGAAGATGCTACTACAGAAGTGGCACCTGAAGCTTTGGCAGTAGTTTAAGACATCTGGACTCACCTCACTGAGATTCGATACGTAAGTAATGGTTGAATTTAATTCACCGGCTGGGAGGATCAGGATTCCCAAGCGGATAATTCACAAAATAGGTATTAACCGCCCTACTTACTAACTAGTTACTCGATCAGTTTGTTTGGAGCAAACATATGCAAGTCACTTGGTTATCAATTTTGAGAAAGATACACTCAGAGGGTACATTTTAAGTGAGAAAAACCAGAAATCAAACTAAATGTTAGGATGGTACGTTTAGTCAAACTTTCGTTTGAATTTTGTTGTATTACGTGAATTCTATCAAGCTTGAATGACATATGCTTCCGATTGTTGTTGTGTGTTCATATTTGGATTAAGTGATAGTGGAGCTACAAGCATCGAATGAGTTCCGGTACACTGATACACTACAGTGCACCAGAACTGCAAGTGTGGTGACAAAGAAGGAAACTCATCTACTGCTCATGTGATCAAAGCTTAATTGTCGTACCATCATCAGCAATGTCAGGGTGTTCTGGTAGTGGGCTGCAGCCTCTCATGTCAGAGAGCTAGATGTCCACATATATGCCCTGCTATTATTCCTATCTAGGAAGAGTGAGTGCAAATGGCTACGGGGACTGCTGCTGGGCAGACAGGACGTTGCCTGCGGAGAGCACCGGGGTAGACAGAAATTAAAGTAACAATCGTAGTAGTTGTTATGATAGACAGCACTGTGGCTGCAAGGTGTCGAAAAAGACTAAGACTTGAAGAATTAATCCCCGCCAATTTTGTTAACTTTGTTGACGTGTGATGCATGATATGCACAAGTGGGGTGAGCACACGCCTCCAAATTCAACCATGTCTCTGGTCACACAGACCATCACACCACTAACTTATAGTGGGAGTTAGTGAAAACTGGATGAATTACTTTGCTGCTGGGGATCGCTAGTTTGAGGGAACACTCAATGGATTAACAGTCATTTGTTGGTGATAACTAGAATGGTGTTCGTCCAAGTCATCAACATCTCCTGAGTCTTTAACCCTGTTCATTGAAACAAGACGGAGGTGATACAGCCAGTAGAATCACTGCATATTATGCTGATGTTTACTAGTAGATATTTGTACAATTATCCTAATTGTATTTGTCCATTGTTGGTTGATTGGCAAATCTTCATGCTTAACGTCTCTCCTTCAACATCAAATCAAGATGAAGTAGAGTTTGTTTCATTGTCCATAAAAGTTATTCACAGTTATGGTGCTACTAATAAGGGCGTTCTGTCACATTTGGAAAGTAACAGTTATTGTCCAACGCACAGCATCGGTTCAGGAGCTATGAAATGATTCTTACAAAGTTTATGACAACATTCGAGTGAAGGGGAAGTTCGAGGCAAATCGATGGTATGCACGTGTACCTCAAAAGGGCTTGCAGTAGCGTTCGTGAATCGCAACTATCGCTATTTCACTAAGTCTTGGGATAACAGGCACCTTGACCAACTGGAGCAGGGAGTTCGATGTTGGAAATGGACAGGTTATTGATCATATGCGAATCGTCCTTCTCGACAGCGATGAGCAGTGGTGTAGTGCGCAGCACAGTTCTCCGGGCCCTCTAACTTACTATTCATATCAGCGAATTACCTGAACTCGCCGAATCCTTCGTGGTTCCAGGCACAATTGACCTGAAATATTGGATGTAGCATCAGGACATCTTTAGGTTATCAACAAGGCTTAAATACTTGTTAAATTGACGCAAAACTGTGTTTCCTCCACAATGAATATCGGGAACATATTATCAGAGCATACGACATACAGGGAACACCATTCCCATCAATACAAAAGCATGAGGAACCGGGCATAAAAAGTCGTGGCCTGAAAACTGGAGAGTCATTGTGCACAGTGACAGCAATAAGGATATTCCTCTCTGGAACAACAAGTGAATAATCCACTACAATTCATTTACCTCTGGAGAGGTCAAAATTAGATAACTACATCCTAAAGAGGAAGAAAGTAATAGAGAAATCCCATACACATTTCCTGGTATCACGTGCCTATCATGTGGTCATCAACTTCATAGATCCCACATCTCCTGTTTATATCAAGGGAGGGGAGGAGGTCTGACCAGGAAGATCAAAATTCTAGGAAGGGACTGCAGACATTATCTATCTTCCCCCTACACTACCAGTAGATATGAATATCTCCGAAGATACAATCGAAGAGTTCAAAAACCGAAGAACTGTTCTGACGTGGAGTACAAGTCTTTCCATCATGTCACTAATCCTGAGTTCTAAGAGAAGGTGGAGAGTAAACTAAAAAGGGAAAGCGTACACGGCATTCATGACAAATCACGTCATTGTTAATCCCACGTAGTTTCCATGGTTCTTTGGTGTAATTATTGGTGCCGGTTGCTATGTTACAACTTCACAAGAGTAACTAAGTCTCAAAACTTATTATTCTCCATCCAAATCTGAATCTAGATATTTTCCTCACTTCCTCTATTGGGCATTCAATACCTTCGACATTGAGTAAAACAGAGCGCAGGACAAATTAGAAACTCGTTTTCGTTATAAATGCTCACTTGCAACTACAGAAAATGTAGACAGCTACTAGGAACCGATGCCATCGCCACCAGTTGTCAGCATATCTTCTGTGCAACACACAGTCCCCTTCATCTGAAAACCTCCGATGGCATGTTTCAATGTCCAGCCTGCAAATCGAGATTGCATGAAAATACGGATATATATGAAGTGAGAATTTCTCTGCTACCTTCTAACTTGATCAGGTTAATTTGCAACCGTGTGAACAGTTTCGGAGCATGATTCTGATGGGACAAACTCCCGAAACAGTCCTAGACATATGTCGCAGAGCTATTGGATTCTACTCCACACAAACTGCTCAGGAAGTCAAATATTTAGAGTATGTCATTTACAAGCTCCAAGAAAAGTACAAAAGTATAGAGAGTCAGTTCAAATCTGTGCTGAGCAACTACGAGCAGAAGGTGAAAAGCCTTCAAAATGAGAGGGATTCTGTAAGACATGTTTAGCATAATCTGTTTCTCTTTCAAGTTGCAGAAGGAGTGCGAAGAATTGCGAGACAAGCTTGTTTCGTCAAGCCACAAACTCTCGAAGTTGGAAAGTGATTTGAATCAGTTGAATTTGTCGAGAAGATCAGAATCCACTCACACCCGTCACTCAGGTCATGGACTTCCTAGTTCCGGACATTCCAATATGTCACCAGATACGCTACATCGGAAGTTTCCTAGATGTTCACCTTACTCAACACGTCGAAGTCCATTTAGCGCGAACAGTCGGTGCTCTCAGATGTCTTTCTGCAGACGACAAGAACCCACCACATCCACCAACTGTTTTCCTTCCAACAGTTCACGTCAATCAACACCCAATCTAGTATTCCCTAATCACTTCCTCAATGGCGGAATACGAAATTTAACCAACAACCCCCGGAAACCGCTTTATAAATGAGAATGACTTTGGAAATGTTATGTTTTGATAAAGGCATACAGTTTTTACTAAGGATAAATCAATGTCATTTAAATTTGTTGACTTTTCAAACATATCAATCCCCATTTGTTTGGTTTTGGAGGAGTCTAGGTAATGTTTGTGACTTAGTTTGAGAGACGAAAACATGTCGGTGGAAACAAGTTTGCTTAATCTCTATGATGATAGCAGACTGAACGATGCACACTCAAGATTGCAATTATCGATACAGTATCAAACCCTTTGTGTCATTATCTCATACTTTCAGTAAAAGTCAACAATCCCTCATCTCCTAGAAAGTGAAAGTATATCTAAACCACTTATCATCTACTTTCATGAAGAATATGTTACCTATTCACGCTATTTACTTCAGTTATTTCGTCCAAACTGTCTGAAGGCTTACGTCCTCTGATATAACCATAGCTAGGTATGTTATGGAACTCGTTTACCTGGCTCTTGCTAACCTCACTCAAGGCTGAATATATTCTTTGAGAGTCAGGGTAATTCAGTCAGTGACCTTCCTCTGAATTATCGTCTCAATTCCTGGATACCTTTACATATAGACAAGTAAGGTGTATATTTGTATAAATCACAGCTGTTCTGGAGTTAGTAGTTTCAACGTTTCGTTTGGTTGGCTGGACTGAAATGTTACAGGGAAACAATAGAAATTACAACATCCGACTTTACTCGCGACCCAATGTTTGTAGAACCGATAGGTTAATGTCTTGACTGGAGTTCATTTGGACGTCTAAATCTAGAATGCAGATGTTTTCATCCACATACCGATATTTCTGCAGCTTAGACTTAACACATGATAATGGCTTCTTAATGACTTGTATAAATTTGTAACGTCCTCACCTGCAAAGACACCAGTTGGTGAGAAACTAATAGTCTCTTCTGTAACTCCTTCAACAGACTCTACACTTGGATGTTCGTAATAACACATGAAGAATTGTTGTTATTAACAACATTTACATTTTTGAGTAGCATCAAACGAGTAATACCAGTGAAGTGTCGCTGAAAAGCATTTAAACGTCATAATACGCTTTACTGTAGTAGTAAGTTGAATATCAGACAAGCTTAGAAAAGCAATAATGCAGAATTTATGGATTTATAGTTTCCACAGTAGGACGGCAAGATTAGCTGTATCTATTTCACATTTGCATGAAGAGACCTGGTTGTTTTGAGTGAACTGCACTGAACATTATTTTTTGCACTATTCAGTACCCGATCTGATTGCAGTGGGTTGTGTAATATTCATTTGTTGGTGATTTTCACTAAACTTTTATTTGTTTATACTAATGACTGTTCGTGAGTACGAAAGGTAAATTCCTAGTTAAACGGCCAATGTAACCAGCTCCACAAGAGCAGTTGCGGTGATAGATACAGTAAGAGGTGGTCAGCCAAGTTAATTTAATGTTCAGCGAAGGGATGAGGTGTAGCTTACCGTCACTATGGGTTCTTCAAATCGACTTTCTCATCTTGTTGATCAGTTTACCTGGCACATCAATTTTCATTTGAAATTTCACGTATCATCTTTTCAACCAAATGGCGATGTCGGCTACGACGCCCACATATTGAACATTCCCAGTGAGAATGGAAAAAACGGCCTGCAAGATTATCAGTATAAAATACAGTGGGCTTTCAGCAGGTCACATGACAGTTTACGCAATTCAGAGTTTGGGTTTCACATACCGCGAAGGTTTATGTGCCAATTTTTAGCATTCGGTCTTCGCTTTCTGTGTATTTTGTGTTATGTGTAGTGCCTTGAATCAGTTAACCCGTACCATTCTTCGAAAATATAAAACCACTGTGACATCCTTGATTTGTTAGCACCGGAAAGATCATCTAACCCTCCGAAGTCAAAGAAAAACTTTCAACCTGGAATCTTCCACTAAACTAGAGCTATGCAAGTCACAGAATTTCATAAAGCACACATATAGGTGGGAAAGGCAGGAATGTAAGGGAAACATCATGAGCGCAAATGTACGGAAGGAAGTATAATTACAGAAGGGGTGGTAGGAATTTACTTGATCTTGGAGGCAACAAGACGTAAATGCATCTGTTGCACTGGGATAACTGTTCAGTCACGTCACCAACCGTCTCCAATCTCTGATTCTTACAGTCTCAATAACCATGGATAGGTGGTCCACATTTCCCTGATTTACTAGCTCATATCAACTGCCAGAGACTTCACAGAATGATGCCTGGCTTTAATTTTTATCACCCATAATTCCTTTCTAGCCACATCTGAGGTCAGCTAAGGTAGCTCACTGAGGAAGGCCTTGCCTTGTCATGCACATCACAAATGTCTCAGCCATCTCAACCTACACAACTTCTCAACCACATCAATGGTGTCTCTCCACTATTTACTTAAGCATAATATTACTCACCATGTAACACTGAGTAACGCAGGAGACAGAATGTACACACTGGGTCATAGGAAATATTAAAAGACAATTGCAGCGAAGAAAATTTTCTTTTCATCATCATCTAGGCTGTGCATTCGTGTATTTATATCGAATCGATAGGAAAGTTCCGGAATAATTTCTGGTTAAGGGTCAAATTTATAAAAATTACAATTAGGAATTATAATGCCATAATAAACAGGGGGGCAGATAAAAATCAAACAAAGTAGCATCATAATAACTAAGAAGATTGACATATTGTGCAATCGGGGGTTAGAAATGTAAAAATAAAAAAATAGAATGTAAACACCTGTAGCTGAAGGCAGCTAGTCTCTTCAGACACTTAAATTTCAGTGGTCATGGAGAAGTGTATAGGGAAATGCTGTACAGTGCGTGCATCTTTTGATCAATAGCTGAATTCAGTCTAGTTCCACGAGCTCTAAGATTTCGTCAGCAAAATACATCCATTTTTTGGGCGAAACCACTTCACTCCCTATTCGTTAAGTAGGATTTCGTGAAAATCAGTACTGTGACATTATCTTGCCACTTACAGTGGCAAATCACACACATCATGGTCTCTGCTTAAAGTGTTCAAATGACGATGCATAACTTTCAATGCATCATTACATAATGGGTTGAAATTTGGAACCACCATTTCGATTAGATCATTTTCATAACTGCTATTTAGATATTCGTCACTAAAGGTTAATTAAGATCATGGATTTATTCCTTAGTTCTAGTACAGCCTTAACTCTATCAATCAACAGGTTTGTCCTCCCCTCTAAGTAGAAGAGAATCAGTTACCTCGAGACTGGAGATAGAGGTTGCTAAATAATGCAAATTATCACGAAAACTGGGCCTTTCTCCAACCGCCATAACACTTTTAGTATTACATTCAAAAATCCGAAATTCATCATTTAATGTTGCCTATTTATTACAAAAATATTTTACAAATTACATTTTATTAAAAGTGATACTTATTCTTCCGAATTCCTAGGATAAATAACTTTATATATTCTTCTTTCATGATCCAGTGAATAGTGATTTTCTTAGTCAGTGGCCCATAAAATTATCATTTGTCACTATTCCTTTGGTTTTCGGGTAGAACGTAACATTTCAGCTGTACACGTGCATTCCATTCTGTTGTCTGCACTCCACTTCAGCTGGCTGTACAATCTTTGACTTAATCCTCGCATGATCTGCTTTATATCACTACCTGACCCACCAAAGTCTCACTCGTCGTTTCCAACTCGGGTTACGATCAACCGTATACTGTGGTCATGATGTTAGTCGACTGTCGCCTCAGAGTTTGTTCAATTTATCTTAACTTTTTTCTTCATATTTCTGGAATGATAAAGTGACTTTATGCTTGTGGTTTCAGGTCAACTATCAAATCTTTAATGTCAGGAAAGCCAAGGCAACAGGTAATGAAATTCTATATCCTGTTGGGAAATGCTTTCCGTATAAGGCTCTCCGAGCCTCTGAACTATATACAAACAGTGAATGATCCAGACCACGTTTCATATTCTGAGTTCAGTAGACTTCCACTCTGATTTCATAGTAACGAAGGATTTTGCTGCCTCCTCTGGTAAGATCTTCCTTGGCTTTGTCATCCTGATCAATTAGACCAGTAGCTGAACGATGTTAGCCGGTCAAACGAGAAAGTTTGCATACTTCTGTTAACTTCTCATTCATGGTTCACATAAAAAAGGTTGTGCCATTTGTGTGGTATGTAATTCGAAGAGCTCCATACATCTAAAACATCCTTGTTAATTGTAAGCGAAATATAAGAATAGATCGTTTGCATAATGCATAAGTAGTTGAAGAAAGACAATTCTCCTCAGC